GTCTGTGGTGATGGTTGAAGGGCAGCCGAAGTTTGCTACCCATCGTTCGACGAAGGTGCGAGCCACTGTTTCAGCAGTGATGTCCTTGATAGGTACTGCTTCTGGCCATCGAGTGAAACGGTCTACGCAGGTTAAGAGATAAGAGTATCCATTTGAATCTGGTAAAGGTCCTACCAAATCCAGATGAACATGGTCGAAACGAGCATCGGGATTTCTGAATGAGTGTAAAATACATTTGTTGTGTCTAATCACCTTAGATTTCTGGCAGCTTACACAGGAGCGTGCCCACTCCCTCACGTCTTTATTCATTCCAGGCCAGCAAAACCATTCTGCTATAAGCTTGATGGTGGCACGAACACCTGGATGAGAAAGTTTGTGCAATGTGTTGAAGACATTGCGTCGATAATGTTTCGGCACGATTGGGCGATCCCTACCTGTAGATGTGTCACAAAGTAAGGTTTCCCTACCTGTTCCCATCTGTTTGATGCGTAGTTTAAGTGTTGTGGACGATAACTCTTGCTGAAGATCACTGTCTTCTTTTTGAAGCTCGGCGAGTTTAAGAAGGTCGGTTCGTTGGAAACTGTTCAAGGAAGTTATACGAGATAAAGCGTCTGCAACTACATTGTTTGCTCCAGAGATGTGTTGAATATCTGAAGTAAACTGTGAAATGTAGTCCAGTTGTCGAGACTCACGAGGTGAGTACTTTTTTGAAGAGGAGCTTAAGGAGAAAGTAAGAGGTTTATGGTCAGTAAAAAGAATGAAGTCACGGCCTTCGATGTAGTGTTGAAAATGCCGTACAGCACAATACATAGCTAGGAGTTCCCTACCGAATGTGCTGTACCTCGATTCGGTGTCTAGCAACCGTCTAGAGAAAAATGCCAAAGATTGCCAGGAGTTGTTAACCCATTGTTGTAAGACTCCTCCGATTGCTGAGTCGGATGCGTCTACTGCGATGCTAATGGTTGCTTCAGTGTCCTGATGTACAAGCATTGTTGTTTTAGCGATCAGTTCCTTAATTGTGGAAAATGCTTTTCGTGCGGTGTCGTTCAAATTAATGGATTTCGCATTTCCATGAAGTTGATTGGCAAGAGGTATCATGAGTAACGCGCACTTCGGTATGAAACGTCTATAGAAACTTACAAGGCCGTTAAATGTGAGTAGTTGCTTGACGGTGGTCGGTTCTGGGTAATCCAGAATGGCCGCCACTTTGGTTCTAAGAGAGCGAATGCCTTAAGCATCAATAGCGTGTCCTAGAAAATCTAATGAGTCAGTTCTGATTTGGCGTTTCTGAATGTTTACAGTAATGCCATGTTTTTGTAGTCGTTCGAAAACAAGATCCAGATGCTTGAGATGTGATTCTCTGTCCGGACTTGCGATTAGGCAGTCGTCAACATACGCATGTACGAAAAACGTCTTCTATGAATCATTGGAATGTTTGAGCAGAATTTCTTAGAACGAAAGGCATTCGCAAAAATTCATAGAGTACGAAGGGAGTTATGATGGCGGTTTTCGGTATGTCGTCTGTGGCCATGGGAATTTGGTTATACGCTTTAACCAAGTCGATTTTCGAAAAGTCAGTTGTACCTTTCAAGGCAGTTGTCAAATCGTGAATGTGAGGCAACGGGTAACGATCGGGAATGGTTTGAGCATTCAATCGCCGATAGTCACCTGTTGGACGCCAATCGTTGCTATCCTTTTTAGGGACCATGTGCAACGGAGATGCATATGGGCTACTTGACGGTCGTATGATTCTTAAGTCTATCATATGGTCGAACTCGTTTTTCGATAACCTTAGCTTTTCAGGAGCTAGTCGGCGTGCTTTAGAAAATACAGGTGGTCCTGTAGTCGTGATGTGATGTGTAACATTGCTGGTTACACACGGTAGTTTCGGTTGCGTTTGATGAATCCCAGGATACTTATCGAGTAGCGGTTGATAAAGTGGGTCTATCGTATGTTTAATTGTGACTGGGGATAATCTGCAACCAGTAAAAGAAGTTACGCAAACGGATAAATTAGTGTTTCCATCTACTAGCCTCCGTTTGCGAGTATCAATGATTAGATTATGGTGTTGTAGAAGGTCCATACCAATGATTGGCATAGAAACATCTGCAACAACGAAGATCCAGTGAATGGGTTTGCGTAAATCCACGTTGAGATAAACGTACCTTTTGCCATACGTAGCGATCGGTTTCCCGTTTGCCGCCTGTAAGTTTAAAGCCGATCCGTGAAGCCGATCGTTGGGATTCGCTGGGAGAGCGCTAACTTCTGCGCCAGTGTCGACGAGGTAGCAAACTTTCGTTGTCACATCTGTGACGTATAACACACAGTTATGTTCGCCGGCTACGGTTGCCGTTAACACGTGCCGACTTGGAAGTTTCCCGAGTTGTGTTTTCGAGTCGGTCGGTTTGGAGTTGGGAAAATTGCAGGGTTTTCTGAAATTTCTGGAATACTCTCCATACTGGTTATGATACCAGCACCAGTCGGGGTTATCCGTCTCTCGTGGTCTAGAGACCGATCGCTTACGTGAAATGCTTCTACGTGGGGTGTGTGATCGCTTACGGTCGTTACGAAAATTATGATAACGCGTGAGTGTGTGACATAAGTTGGTTATCTCATTCTGAGTCGTTTGAGGCTTTTCTTTGACTGAAAATACCTCGGTAGTAGAAGATTTAGTAATTTCTGAAATATGATCGGCAGATGCAGCCAGTTCGTCTAAGGCGTTGTTCTGAAACGAGAACGGAACCGCTTGCACCAGTTGGGGAAGTTTAGACAAGAAGAGTTGTTTGAATAGACCTTCGTTGAAAGTTCTTGGGCCTATAACCTCTCTCATTCTTTGCATTATGTCCGTCGCAGAACCGTGCTGCAGGTCTATGTTATTAAAGAGTTAATCTAAACTTGGTCGATCGGTTAGGTCTCCTCGTTTAAGAATCGAACGTTTTAAGGTTTCGTAAGGTTCAGAAACATCACTAGTAAACATACTAGGTGTTACGTACCTGTTGAATTCCCGCGGTAGTACCTTGACTACTGCGAGGAATTGTGCACGTGTGTCGTTCACGCCGTGCTCGTGGAAGTCGGCTTCTGCGTAGCAGAACCAGGCTTCGATGTTGTCCGGCCAGAAGTGCATGAGTTGGAACGACGGTGGGGACATGGTCTTAATCTCAAATACCTTAGGAGTCCGTTCGGTCATCGGGGAATATTAAGTACGAGAATACACGAGCGAAAAATATATAGATATCCCGAGACACAGGGAAAAAATATCACCATGTATAAAAATAATAAATAAGGCAATAATATATAAAAATCCCAGAAAGGAACGGACTCACAGTTGCAATTAGGTGTATCAGATCACACCGGTCTCACCAATGAAGATGGCACAGGTATTCAGTGTTTGACACCGCTTTTACCAGCAACACCTAATATAATTCGTACCCACCAAGAGAAATCAAAAGACAAAATCGAGGAGATCGGAAGATATGTTTGTTGACTGTCAATATATCGAGAATCGTTTGATCTAATCTAGCTAGCGATTACAGTAGATGTTGAACACGGCGTTCCCACACGTGATCTGGTACGGATGCACGACCGAGCGTCTTCAGCTAGGTGAGTTCATTAAAACATATGGTCAGCATCCAATGTTGAAAACTTACAGAGCTATTTATTTTGGGGATTTATTTACCACTACAAGGGCTTTACTTGAGTTATTAAAATTGATTAAAAAGCTTGTGTGAGAGATAGCTTGCCTAAGTGAACAAATCAATAGATTTTCAATATTAAGTACTAAACTCAACTTCAAAGTTGGGCAGATGGCAACAGACCCACATTTAACACTTCAAGGTTTAAAGTAGTCCATCTGAGACATGTTGAAGACTACAGTTACAGCTTAAGAAACTCCTCTCTAGAAGTATCCCAAGTTGAAAATATTTAGAAGTGCTGGTACTCTACTATTTGAAGTCTTACGCTAAATGTGATACAAATTCTTTTCGAGCAAACCTTGCACTGATAACACTGAGGCACATGTTTGGTCAGTTCGACGGATAAACTTTCCGCATAATCTTCAGCAGCTTCATTCGTCCCCATTTAGAGTACCTAAACACAGTATTTCCTCCTTAACTCCGAAAGAACAAGGACACTCTGAGACGTATCCAACGGTGAGCTGTAAAATCAGTTCGGGGATCCAAATTCAAGCCTTCGGAAGAGCGCCTCCAATCACTAAACCTTTAGCCATTAGAGTACAGGCTTCTTAGAGGTGACCTTCTAGTGACTTGCAGTATCTTTAACACTTTTGGACAGCTCCTTACACACATACTTAAGTTTAGCTCCAACACAAACCTCAAGGGTAATACTCAGAAACTGGAGACACAACAAAGCAGAACTGACTGTATACACAACTTAAACTCCTTATGAGTTATCAAATGCTGGAATTCGCTGCCGGCTGAGCTAGTCCAAGTGACTCCCCAGGAGTCCCTTCAGAGGAAACTTGGTATATTCTTAAAGACTAAGGATAGTATCTTACAATGATTTACCAACTTCTTTTTCTTCTTTTATCGTTAATATACCTAGGTTCGTGTCTGGAGGTATTGTTGATCCACTGCGATTAGACACGAAAGCCCGTTAGGCGAAACCTTCGTTTATTCCGTCCACAACCATTTGAATTTGAACCATTTGAAACTGGTCAGGTTTAGAGTAGTAAGTATACTAGAAATATGCAGTTATTACCAGTCAACTGATGTATCTCTGTGAATATCATAAAGATCGTAATAATTTTTTTGTCCGCAAATAAGTCTCAAATAACAACCTAGACTTTTAACATACCATAAATCATGTTGTTCACTGTGTTCTAGTTGTTGAAATTTGTATTTCGTATGCCCCCGCTCGAATTGGTGGGGCGAGAATGGTTGTCTACGCTCATTTCCTTCAGGATTGAGCTGAGTTCACCGACTACCGATCTCCACACTTGTTATTGATTTTCATATTGGCTACATACTTGTCAGTTATCTACGATGCGTCGACAATTGGATGGTTTTGATAGCCCTTGCATTTCAGAACGGGAGTATGTAAAGCTCCAGTACGGCCGTAAAATCGCTCAGGATACTTGTCTCCTAGCCACTATGAAAACTCCAGACTGGTCACATGGATTTCCTGCATTTATTGGTAAACACAATATAGTTCCATGCACTGTGACCACCAATTCTGGCAATTCCACTCTAAAAATGTATCCTTACTCTGTGTATTCATGTGAGTTTAGCTTTTATAAGGTTGAGCCTCATTGGATGTACTTTAAATGTTTCGTCATTATCGTTCTACTACTTTTTCACTAGCGATGTGCGATTAGTGCTTGTCGTTTCCGCTACATGTATGCATAGTGTTTCTGATATTGTCTTTATAGGATGACGAAGTCAAAGTAAGCTGGGTATCAAAAGGCCATGAAACTACAATTTATGGACGTCCTTTCGGCAACGCTGAAGTGACTTTAAGAATATCCACACTAGTATACTGGTATCAAATGAGGGATATAAAATAGTGCGGGAGATAAGGATTAGAATTCACGGTTGGGCGTTGTCGGCAATGGTTAGATTTAGGGTTTTAATTACGGGGTGACATCTGTTATAATGACAAAATGCTATTTGGCCAAATGGATGTACAAGTTCCACTCTAAAAGCCATGACTAGTCTTAAAACATTGTTTCGTCCATAAATTATAGTCTTGCCGAAGTGACTTACACTAAGTCACGGAACGTCAGAAAATCTAATTTTCTACTCATTAGGATATTACAAATATATTATTTTTATTTATAACAATCAACCCAATGCCCAATTTATTCGAAATTATCAAATCAAACCTTGGTAATGGTACCTATCAAAGTCCTATGATGTGGTTTCTAGTATGGTAAGCGCTATATATTGAGTGAATCAGTAGTCATCTAGGTTGGTTTGCTCGACTTTCACTTGGATAAGGGTAAGCCATTCCATCTGACCTGTTGAACCTGTTTAGTTATGATTCTTTGCTGAAACTATGTGTTGGCAGTTCCTTTCGATTAAATGTGTTTCCCTTATGTCGAGACACGACTTAAACTTTCATTTTGTTTTGTTATCCTGGTCCCGAAACCATGCACCTCTGGGTGATGCCTTGTGTTAACAATTTGATGTTTTACAACTTATCTTCGGGTAGATATGGGCTTTTGTTCGAACAAGCTCCTACACCACATGTTTTCAGTGGATGATATATATATATATATATATATATATATATATATATATATATATATATATATATATATATAATAGGATGTTTACTGAGCGACAGACTGTCGAGACTTATATGTACTTTCGTTTTCCCATTTTATTATTCAGCCTTCAGACCCCAGGAAACAAAGTTCCATCCTTGCTTGGTGAGACAGGAATGTCGCATTAATTAGTATGTCGATTTCCAGACATCGTTTTTCTACTCGTAATTCTCCGGTTTATCATATTTCCTCAGGCTAATCAGTTGTCGTGACGGAGACTTCCCATAAAGTGTCATGAAAAATGTTAATACAATTATTTATTTACCTTTGTAGGTGCTTGTCAGTCGGATCTCAGTCGATGTCACAAATATCGGTCGAATTACTTGAGACATCGTTGCCTGTCTGGTCCAACAGTTGCTATGCTACTTCCAACAGCGGGACACGAATCCACACGCACTACTGTCCACTCCTCAGTATTTGAAAACTGTGGTCGCGGAGTAATAGATCAATCTATTCCGTTGTCTCATTTAATAATTTCACACTCTCCAGGACCGAAGATGACGTCTAATTTATCACATCTGAATGTATGTCCTAAGCCGCTTCCTTTTTTTGAACCTCACTATTTGTCCAGTACTGAATTTCATTCTACTCACGCATCTCATTCACGTTTCGCGTGTAGCTAGAATTATTTTTAGTGCTGGCGTAGTTTTAACAACTCAATGCATTTCTGATGAAGCTCGCCCAGTCAATTTTATAGTCCCGATTCCCGTTTGTCTCGTCCTTTGCATTTAACTACTGGATAGCACATTAGTACAAATCCTTTGTCCCTCATCACGCAAATCTCAGTAATTTGCCACCCAGTTATGCGAAGTTTTCACTTTTTCATAGTAATATTAAGTGCAGGATTTTTATCATCCTTACCGACTTACGTTTCGTTCATTCCACACTAACTTTGGAACTGCTTTTCTTTTTATGTCAGCAACTATTTATGCACTGGCGTCTATGTCACGTCATTGATAGTTCAAACAACCTTCCTTGATTAGGTATTGAAACTAATTTTGTTTTATTCCAGTCCTTTTATACATACGCTTTCTATAATTATGCTTTTTGTTTATATTTATTTATGTACTTCGTATGTATTGTGTTTACAGTTTTTTTTACGGATCTCTATGCTATTTATTGCTTTTAAAATTATCTATTTACTTTATGGTCACACTCAACCACATTTCATTCTAATTATTAAGCTGATTACTATAATGTCCGTGGGATTGTTTTTAACGTGGCGTGTTCATTTTATAAGAGTGGTGAGCTCTTATAGTAGCAGCTACTTACTATGTGCATAGTGTCCTACTACTAACAGCTAAAGGTATGAATAAAATACCTTGTCATACTCTGTAATATCATGTAGATGGTCAAGTTTCAGATTCAAGATTACTTCGAGCTACCTTGTCTTCATTCGGACATCGAGAAGTAAAATCCCCTTTTCATAAATTAGTAAGTAATGATAGTTACGATTCTAAACAGATGTGACTGCTGTAAATGTTTTAGTGCTGTTGTCTATTTTATTGTCAAGTCTAACCATTTAAAGGCTTCTTTCGCATCGTTCGTTCCGCATGCGGTCGCTACGCTTTTTTTATTTAATCAGCATGACTGATTACTTCACATTTCATACAGGTGGTTCCCTTCATAAATTCAAATAAAGCAGAAACGACAATTGAGGCGTAACGTAGATTTGTTTCATTCCCTAGTTTTTCATTAGCTGCTTACAACCGTATTAGTATTAAAGTGTAACAAATATAATATAGTGTAGAGTACTCGACGTTTGCTCGGTTGCCCACACTTAGCTTGAGATCATCCATGTTACCACAGATTTTCATTGTCACTATATTGATTAGTTGGTCATGTATTTAAGGTCGTGAATAACAAGAATTAGAAAAGCCACTGATGAGAACAAGGGTCTCGGTCCTCAGGTGTGGTACTTGGGATTATTAACACTCATTTGCTGATAATTCCAATTACCACTTCAGACTTTGTAAACGAAAGTGGCATGATTACTCAGCCTCTTTGTCAATTTTGATATACCACACTGATCCTCAGTATATACTGTCTCAGTCAGTTGTGCGTAACGTAGGATCTAGCACGCATACATCAGTCCAAGACGTCACCTTGTTACTGCGGATCCCAGAGTTGTGGAGATAATAAGAGTATTAGTTGTGATGGAAAAGACTATTTATCGAGGATGCAGTTTTAGGGGAAAACATAAATTAGTGGGGTGGCAAGAACTTAAGATGAGACAGGGCGAATGCTCCTATGCCATTGCAAACAATCCAGTTAGTCAGCTACAACGTAGGACCAGGCACATATGTGCATCGGTCCAGGTTGCCATACCTCATTAGCACAGCAAGATGAACAGCGGATTCATAGGAGTGGTTAGGTCAAAGGTGGTAATACATAGGAGAAAGATTGCAATAAGGATATAGTATAGGAAGAAAGAATTAGTTCGTAGAAAGAAAGATATGAAGTGATTTTAATCTCTTAGTTTAAGGGAAGACAAAAAGTGTATACACCGACGCCACTGTGATCGATTCTGAGCCATGTCACCCCGAGTCTCCAACCACTGGTTACGATAGTCACGCAGACCCCAACCAAATAGTGGGCATCTACCAACATGGTTCAGACTAGACGTTAGTGGCTTCAATGACTGATGCCATGTTTTGGTTTGGTCGCCCCGAACATTCTCCCAGCCGTCTCCAACACTGCTCAGCATTGTGCATCGTGGTGAACGGTGTTCAGGCATACGTAACATGTGGCCCAACTATCTCAGTCGATGCAGATTTACAACCTCATCAACTGATTTACCATCATTCCCTGATACCCTGCGTCTAACCTCACTATTACTTATCTGGTGATCCTAGCAGATGCGAAAAGTATTTCTAAGACATCTGTGGTCAAATACTAGTAGCTTGCGAGTGTCTTCTACTCTTAAGGGCCATGTTTCGCTGCCGTAAATTAAAACAGAACGAACTGCCGCGCAGTATACTCGTCCTTTTATTGATAGACGGATATCTCGCCTCCGCTAAAGGTGACGTAAGTTGGCAAAAGCCAAACGAGCTTTTCGAATTCGTGCTGAGATTTCGTCAGACACCAACCCATTAGGGCTGATCAGACTTCCAAGATAAGTGAAGTTGTCAACGCGTTCGACTACTTCACTCCCTATACTTAGTTCAGGTGTTGACGCAGACCAGTCCTGAAGCAACAACTTGCATTTAGAGGGAGAAAAGCGCATCCCAAACATTCTGGCATTGTTGCTTAGTGCTACCAGAAGACTCTGGATTTTGTCAGCGTCTTCACCAAACAGGACTGTCATCCACGTGTTCTAAGTCGATAAGTGGACCTCCTGGAAAGAGATCAATACCCGAGAATTCAGTCGACGAGAGTGTTATTTCCATCAATAGGTCTATGATGAAGTTAAACAAAAATGGGGAAAGTGGACAGCCTTGCAAAAGTAGATGACAGTTCGCCATAAGCTCTGACTCGATTGGTAGTGTTCGAGTAAAGAGCCTTCACAAGGTTTATGTACTTCTGAGGTACGCCTTTCAATGACAGACACTGCCACCGAATCTCGCGGTCTACAGAGTCAAATGCTGCTTTTAAGTCAAGAAAGACCACCATTGTCGGACGCCGATAGGTATGCCTGTGTTCTAGAACCTGACGAATGGTGAATATGTGGTCGATGCAGCCACGACCAGGTCTAAAGTCAGCTTGGTTCTCTCGTGTTTGTAGTTCACGAGTCTTAGTTAGGCGTTTGATAATTATCGAGGCCAGTATTTTAGATACTATGTTTGTTAAACTAATACCTCTGTGGTTGTCGCAGGATGATTTTGACCCTTTCTTATATATTGGGACGATAAGTGATTGTGACCAGTTAGATGGAATAACGTCTAACTCCCAGTTTTTAGATAAAATATTAGTCAACCTAATCGCTAAAATTGGACCACCATCCTTAAAGACCTCTGGAGCCAATCCATCTGGACCAGCTGCCCTTCCTCGTTTCAGATTAAATATAGCCTTTTGAACTTCAGCAAGAGTTGGGGGACCTACTTCAATGTTCCATTCACATTGTCTGGGAATGGAGGGTAGTTGTAGAGTAGCTGAAGGCCAGCTGAACTGTTCTCTAAAATGTTCCGCCCATCGTTCTAAACGTCTGGACTGGGAGCAGATGAGAGTATCATCTTTTTCCAATATAATCTCACTTACACTTGACTTATTAATTCCAGTTTCTTTTATTAGTCTGTAAAGCTGTCTTGTGTTCCCTATAGTCGCCGCCTTTTCCATCTCTTTTGCTTTCATTGCCCACCACTGCTCACGGTCGTTTCTTAGACTTTTTCTTAACCTAGATCTGATTTGTTTTCGCTCTTCATCATGTTCGGAACCTGATGGGACGAGTTTGCGAGAATCCATCAGTGTGATAGACCTTGAAGAAGTCCACTGGTTCCTTGCAACTCTGTGGTTTAAGTCACCAATAGATGTCACTGCTGTTTCCACAGCTAATTGTATGCCCTTCCAAGCAACATCTAGGTCAGCCTCGTCTTCACAACTACCTAAGTGTGACCTCAGTTGTTCCTGGAACCTACTTTTGGTTTTCCCGTTACTCAACTCAGTTCTAACGGGTCTTTTTAATGTGGCTTTTTTGCGTCCAGTGAGGCGCAAGCAGATGCGTGCCCGTATTAGGGCATGGTCGGAGTCCAAGCAGGTACTCCAGAATGAGCGACAATCTTGTACCGACCCTCTCCAACGATGACTGATGGCAATATGGTCTATTCGAGTCCATCGTTGGTTTGGTGTAGGGGGTCGCCATGTTAGACGATGTCTCTCCTTATGCTTAAAATTTGTGTTTGCTAAAAATAAGCGATTGTCTGAGCACATTTGCAGCAGACGGTCACCACTATCTGTTCGCTGTGTCGGAATGCTAAAATATCCACTTAAATGCCTTTCTGTTTGGTTTAAACTGCCTATCTAAGCATTAAAGTCACCTGCTACGAGTACTATGTCTGAGCGTTTAGCTTTCTGTAAAATTCATCTTTCACTTCATCTGAGCTGCAGTCAGTGGGAGCGTAGGCAGAAACGACAAAAAGGCAACGACGTGTGTCCCTATCCTTCCGAGTTCTTACGTAGCCATTCAGCCGAACAGCACATAGACGACTGTTGACGGGGATCCACTCTAGCAGTGCTTGTTTCGCCCTCATGCTTAGTGCTATGCCTACACCTGCCAGTCCACGAGAACTTGCCATCGGGTCACCAGATACACGTAGGGTGTATCTCGTTGGCTCTCCGTTTTGCCGAGGTGAGGTCAAGTGAATAACCACACTGGAATCCTGTATGCGTGTTTCGGAGACACAGCACACGTCAATGGTAAGAGACTCTAGGGTTTTAGCCAAGGAAGCCTGCTGACCGATTTGACATAGGGTTCGTACGTTGAAGGCTCCAATGTGTAGTTTGGAGCGAGGTTTCAGTAGACCTGGGACAGTGTTTTGCGCACTAAAATCGTTGGCTATGGTGACACTTGATGTGGAAGCCGAGAGAGGGAATTTAGAGTTGAAAGTCGATGTAGGAGGAATAATAGGAATTAAAGAGGGAGGTTGATTATGAATACAGCGGTCTTGAGTGCTGTTTGAGGTATGAGGGCGGTTATCACTTCCCGGTTGCCCACACCGTGGAAGGGTTGTTCTGGAGGTACCTGAAAAGGAAATTGGATTAAAGGTGGTCTTAGTGACCTGAGAGCGTGACCGCAGTGCCCAAGGGACAACTGCTTGAGGTCGGTCACACGACCTTGTTATGGGTAATTTTTGTGTTAGCTCCGTACTTATTGAGACCTTACCGCCGGAGACGGATATCCGTGGGATAAGGCGAGGTGTGCATTTTTAGGGTCGACCATTTCTAACCCCACCCCTCCTTGTGGGAAGGCAGCATCGCTGTCATGCTGGTTGTCTGAAGGAAACACCCTACTGTTGTCACACCTCTGTACAGTCAGCAGTACGACTTCGGACCTTGGGTTTGTTGCTTTTAGTCTTACCGCTCCTCAACCGACCTGTCTGACATGGTAGGACCTTGAGGAACGGTTGTTCCAGCCAGTATAGCTCGGTTGCTTCATCACGATAGGCAAGCCCGACCACCACGTCAAGGTAGCAACAACGGTCGGGTGCAAACGATCCTCAGCCACGTCACCCAGTATTCAACCGTTAGTTGCAATGATCAGGTAGTCTGTACATACCCACATGGCTCAGTTCAATTAGCGTCTTCATCGTGTGACACCATGTCTTGCTTTGAGTTCCCTGTTATCCTTTTCAACCAAATCCGTTGTCAGCCATAATCGAACGTGGAGGTAGTGAATGAGCATATGTGATACATGTTTTGCCATCCTTACTTAGTGCCTTGCTTCTAACTTCTAAGATTGAGCGAACTGCTGCTCAGTACACTCCTCCTTCAGTTGATAGACAGACATATCGCTTATGCGACAAGTGATGCAAGCTGACAAACGCCAACTGAGCCTTCTAAATCAGTGTCGAGACTTCGTCAAACCAACCCACCAGGGCTGACGAGGTTTACAAAATAAGTGAAGTAACTGACTCATTTATTTTTGTCATCAATAATTTAGGCGCTGACCTAGACCGGTCCTGAAGCAAGCTCCGGAATTCAGAAAGAGATCATCCTATATATGCTAGGATTGTTGTTTAAGGCGGTTAGAACACTGTCTTAATACCATCTTCATCTGCTTATTTGGAGTCAGCAAGTAAATCACCTGGTAGGAGACCAGTTCTTGATAAATAGGGGAATGAGTGTAGTCTCTAAAATGTTTGAAAAAGTTAGGTGGAACACTCCTGATGAACATTTTGAATTATCAATCTCCCTGGCAGTTCGGTATAAGCTTTGACCTCAGTAGCTTTCGAGTAGATAGCCTGTGCAATGTTGATGTAACTCTTTGGTACAGACAATACCTTAAAATCTGCCTATCCTACGGGATCAGATGCTACCTTAAGATCAAGAAGTACAACTAAGGCTGGGAGTATGTAGGTATATTCGTGTTCCAGGGCCTGTTGAAGGGAGAATATTTGGTCCACACGTTCATGCTGATACCTAAAACCATCTTAGTTCCCCCGAATTACTATTTGATGGTAGCTTATTCACTTACACTTGATACAAGTACATAGGTAGGTACTTCATTGGTGGTAACGAGTTTACGAAATTATTCTTAAGGCGATTAATTCATATTCGAATCTTCAATTATGTACTGATTACATTCATTCAATAAAATAATGGTCAAAGAAGGGTTGTCACTTTGTGTACAAAAGATCTCGAACGAATGATTAGCCACAGTAGGTGATTTTAAAGTAGGTTATTAGGTAGAAGGAATATATTAAAAGTAGGTGAGTGGTTTCATGATGTTTCTTTTCATGTCTGAACTAGTATGCACGTTAAATCTAGAAAATTAAGCTCGGAAACCAATAAGTCGATGTGAACGAAATTTAGAATCGTCATTAAGATTCTGTATATTTTTCTCAATTCTAATCACAGACAAGAAGGAAGCGAATATGATAGTAATGGTTAAATATTACTCTTATGAAAATATCAACTGGGGAAATCCAAAAAAGAAAGGAAACTGAATTAGTGCTTAGAAATCTAATAATGTTAAAGAAAATACTAGATGCTCACTTCTTGATAGTTTACTCACATTAAAAAACAAGGTGACATTCGTGAGTGTTGCTTAAATTTATTAATTTTTAGTGAATCTTATTCCAAAAAAAGATAAATGTATATCAGACGTAATTAATTTTAGATTTTCCCGAAATCATTAAACTAATTTTATCCCCAGTCATTTGTACCACCCTTGGAGCTTCTGCTAATGTTGTCGTTTTGGTAGTGGGAATGTTGGTTGTACCAATCACAATCGATGTTGTTATGAGTGATTTTGTAATATCCCTCAGTTGATCCTTTTCATCTGGAGATTTTTCTTCTACGTCTTCGAGTTTCAACATAAAATTCCCTGTAACTTTATGCTCTACTTTAGTCTGATTCGATTGGTACTTGGATTTCTGTTGAATCGGTGGTTTTTTATCGTCGTCACCGCTTACTTCTGGTACGAATGCGAAGTCAATTTCGGTTAGCTTTTCACGTGAATTCAGCCTGGGTGCTGGTATTTTGACTAGGGAGACTAATTCTTGCCGGGCTCGTACTCGTGCATGTAGATATGGAGCACCTAAGTAGTGATGAAACAGATAATTCGAAAAATTATAAAGTACCATATATAATCTGGTTTTTAGTATGATGAAATATGATAATAGAATGAAGTTAATGTACTAACTACGATCCTCAATTATGGGTTAATTTTTGCTTGCTGCTGATTGAACGGTTTTAGGTTTTCATTACTAGGATCATGTACATGATTTGTATAATCAGTATATAGAAGCGGTAATAAACTCAAAATTTTATGCTAAACTCTGATTACTACTCATATATTGCTTAGAACTATATCTATATTGGAACCCAAAAGCTTTCTAAAATCGTCTAAACGAGAGAGAGAGCACTTTCGTTAGAACACTTACTAGATTAGCTAATGTTGTACAGCATTAATGAAATACAAATAATCGAATTGTTATTTTCATATAATAATCGAAAGAGCCTTTCAGCAAATTTTGTCAGGACCACGGCTGGCGCATACCAAGTACTATTGAGAAAATTCTTTAAGATATCTAAAATCATATATTCGACTGACAGATGGTAATAAGACCATCGTTAATCGGCTGTTCATGTGTCAAATATGCTTCTGAATGCTTATATACTCGTTCTGTCCAAGTACATAACAAGTATTTTTTTAAAATTTCACAAGGTACTGATCAAATACTATCCATTTCTTTCTTGACTTGAATAATTTTGTACATCTAAAACTTATTACATTGAATGAGTTCATAAAAATTATCTCACCAGATCCGTAAAGCGATGAGGCGATCGCGGCAGCTGCTGCTGGTCCAACTGGTGTTATTAACCCTTCACTAACTAGTGAATTTTCACTTTGATTATCTGCATTTGAATCATTAGATAGTCTGGCTTGCAAAGTATCTGTACGAAGATTTTTATACATCTGAGCATTTCCAGTCAGCTTTGTCTCCCTAGGAGTTGATAGAAGAACGAAAGTCTCAAATATATCAATGTAAGAAAAAAATGAAGCACTTGAGATGAAACTTAAACTAAAAAATGGGATTTACTATTGTTTACGTGTTATAAATTCTACACAATTAGTAAATCTAGTAGATATGTAAGATTTAATCAACCAGTCAGTCATCTACAACGTAGGACCAGGCACATGTATGCATCGGTCCAAGTTGCCATACCTCATTAGCACAACAAAGTGAACACTAATTTCATAGAAGTACTTACTTCAACGGTAGTAATATATAAAAGAAAGATTGTATATGAAGATATAGTATAGGAAGGAAGAATTAGAAAAAAATGTATAGAGTAATTTTAATCTCACGGTTTAAGGAAAGACAAAGAGTGTGAACCATGTCACCCAGAGTCTCCAACCACTGGTTACGATAGTCACGCAGACCCCAACCAAATAGTGGGCATCTACCAACATGGTTCAGACTAGACGTTAGTGGCTTCAATGACTGATGCCATGTTTTGGTTTGGTCGCCCCGAACATTCTCCCAGCCGTCTCCAACACTGCTCAGCATTGTGCATCGTGGTGAACGGTGTTCAGGCATACGTAACATGTGGCCCAACTATCTCAGTCGATGCAGATTTACAACCTCATCAACTGATTTACCATCATTCCCTGATACCCTGCGTCTAACCTCACTATTACTTATCTGGTGATCCTAGCAGATGCGAAAAGTATTTCTAAGACATCTGTGGTCAAATACTAGTAGCTTGCGAGTGTCTTCTACTTTTAAGGGCCATGTTTCGCTGCCGTAAATTAAAACAGAACGAACTGCCGCGCAGTATACTCGTCCTTTTATTGATAGACGGATATCTCGCCTCCGCTAAAGGTGACGTAAGTTGGCAAAAGCCAAACGAGCTTTTCGAATTCGTGCTGAGATTTCGTCAGACACCAACCCATTAGGGCTGATCAGACTGTCTGATGTGTGTCTGGAATGTGACCAAGCCTCAATCTCACTTATCTAAACATCCAACCGACATAATTAATTAACATATATAATTCAGTTATGATAGACCAAATAGCAAAAAAATATTTTTTTAAAGTATTCAAATATTGTCATAAACAGCACTTACTGAGTTCTAATCCTTTTGTGTCCTGTTTTTTGGCTTTTTCTTACTAGACTTTCTGCAGAAGCTGTTGGAAAAAAAGTCGATAAAATTGGTCTGACTTTAAAATAACACTTTATAAACTAATTAACTATATGCAGACATAATGGATCCTGATAATATTGTCTATAGATGGACCAATCAGTATAGCGTAATCACTATGGGGACGAAGAGTGAAAAAGCTACCTGTCCAAAAACCTTATCATGAAAATTTCGAGGGATTGTCACTATTCTTAATACCGATCAAGATAAAAGACACATCCCAATCATGTTCCGGCTATCTTAAATGTCGTAAATGAACGATTTTCTGAACCGAACTGCATATTTTTGAACGAATGTATCAGAAGACTTCAATTTTTAGGTTTATGGATGGGTAGTGGGGTGAGGTAGAAGACGGTGTTAGGTACTGGTGTTTTATCTGGTTTTCAGCTGTTACATATATAATGTGAGTTAATAAGATCAATTTAGTTCATTGTAATGTCGGTTACCATATCAAACCCACATAGTTTATTGCAGCCTCTGGACAGATCAATTTATTCATTCTTAAATCACATTTTGACCTTGTCACTTAACCGCTTATCAACTCGACTGTCTTTATATGAGCGTATGTGTGCACACTTCTAATCATGCTCATCATATATCTGTAACTTATTTTTGATCTGACTATGAATATCGATTCACGCTTGGTTAAATTGACTTGGCTCACTCGCCTTCATTGCGCGTTATTTGTTTCGCTTCGCTTTCCGATCAACGATTGTATGAAATATACGTATTCAAAGATCCATCCTCGTATTTGATTCCATTATTCACCAACACGATTCAAGTCGATGGTTGTATATGAGGATAGCATGTATGTATATTTCAACAACAATCATTCGATAACAATCATTCATACGACCCAAAATGGAGTCAGATGTAGGACTACAAAACCATAAAATCATTGAAGTGAATAATATGATTATCGATAACATTACCCATATGTCTCATTATTGCCTAATATTGGATGTGTCTTATATATTAGGTGTTCCCTGTAACAAACAAGTTAAATTATAGATCTTCTGTATCGAAGATCTATCAACAATCAAGAGTAACGTTTCTAACCGTTAATAATGTGGCACCTTAAATTCATCTACTGTAGTCAGTTATTTTATGATTTTAACAAGAAAGTTGCATCAAACTACTTGTAGATCCTACAGGGTTATTTGTCCTTGATAGGTTTTATAACTGAATCCAAGACATAAGTAGTGAGCTAATTAGCTTTGGGGAAAACCTCGAAGTCGGGAAATTTTACGTTCTTCGCCAAAATTTCCCAAACTTTACTATGGCGGCTTCCCCAAAAATGGTCAAATTTTCCCAAAAATCGGGAGATTGGGCAATTATGTTATTCTTGCTGCATGTGCCTTATAACTTGAAAAAGAATTAGGTGATTATACAATTAATGGCACTGTTTGATATTGTGATTGCATCTATTATCAAAGAGGAATACTGACACCTAGAAATTACAAATAAAAATCAGTATTTTGATAAGAACAAAATAGGCGAAACTCTTGGATTTTAAATACCACACTTACCAGTTAAAATTGGATCCGCTTGACCATAATCTCTAGTTCTCACTAGGAGACAACTGCCCTCATGAGCATGGATACGTTTTCGAGGATCGCGTACTCCAGTAGTTTGTCTAAACTCCTGATTGAGGCTTTTTCTTCCAAGTAAATGCCTGTCCAAATCTAAAATGGTACTTTGTTTACAAGTTTTCAAAAATGCAATATGGACTGCAATAATTAGGTTCTTCATTATATCTACCCAGTTGAACCTTAATTCTGATGATGGTTGGCGATTATGAATAAGATTCTTGAAATTTATTTGCAAGCAAAATCTACCTGATCATATTTATTACCGGCAGTTGTATAAAAGCAAGAAAATAAACTAAAAATATTGAAATAGGTATTTCACGGAAAAAACATGTCCTTCTTTTCTCACCTATTTTTTATAAGTTTGTAGTTAGAAGCAAAAGTTGTAACCTGTTTTAAGAGTTCGGAACAAAGTGACATAATGAACATCAGAGTTTAAGGAAATAATAACATAGTATGGTAGACTTGGTTTATGACTTTTTCATATCACTTAATTTAATGAGTCAAACTAACAATCGTATAATATATGTAATGCTCGACGCAGACACGTTTAAATCACAACTTTGCACTCATTTTGAAATACAAAATCTGATCGAACATGTGACCCTGTTAATTAACTTTTCCTAAACTTTGTGGCTAACTGGAATGCTTTATATATGTGTCCTTATAATATGCCTCCGTTTGTTTGCTTATCGATCAATTTATCCGTCAGTCACACTCCGTTTTTCTATTGCTCTATAAATGTTTGAGATTCGTTGGCATCCTGGATCGTTTGAACGCATTTCAGTAAGATGCGGGCTAGATTCGCTGATGTGATCCTGTATTTATTTCAGCATAATACAATTCCTAATATTATTTTTATTCTAACGCAGTTGCTGGTGATTCTAGTGCCGGTGTCGACATAAATACAATGCTGTTGCCATGGTGTTTTTATTTCTGGTTTCAATTCTATTGTTATTTCTCATTACGATTTAATTCTGTTTGGTTTTATTGTACATGTCAATCAATTCAATTACCTAAATATACGTTCATGAAGATTGCTATTAGGCTTCTTATGCCTTCCGTTCACCATTATTCATCGAGCTAAAGATAACAAAGCTATAAAGTGCAGCTCACTTTCATTTTTCATACACCCAAGTTACTCTTGGGTTAACTTCAGTCAATGTTTTTGAATCACAATATCTAAATTAATGGTCTAGAGTACTTTACCAGACCATACAGTTAATTAAATCCAAGAAATGTTAAATATATTTTTATTCTCACTCGTGATGTCTTAGTAGTAGACATTGTCAATCTTTACCAAGATCCAAATATGATATATATATATATATATATATATATATATATATATATATATATATATATATATATGTTTATATATATATATATATATAGTGGAGTATAGCCTTTTAGTCAGATGCTTGAGATGCTAGTACGTGACAATTCGAGATATTGGATTTGGGACGTGGAAGAAGTAAAATACACAAACTATATACTGATCCTTATGGAGAATGAAATATACTCTCACTATTCACCTTCAAGCACCTCCATCTGAGGTCAATATCATTGATGTCGAACTTCTGAATAAGAACAACCATTTAATATTTGGATAATAGTAATCCGTATTAAAAAGTTTTCAATGTGAGGAGAGTGTGCAATGAACAACTTTATCAATCAGAAGTAAACTGGATTATTCTTTCGTGTTTGATTCAGCTAAACTTTGTAGTTTTACAAAAACTTATGATTATTTTGTCTATTCTGAAGAAGGATGGATTTATCTGAGAAGTTAAACTATGTAATACATTGTGCTAACTAGTAAAAATACATTCGATAGTCTAAAACAGAAACTCTGAATACTTGTTTTTATTTGTTATTGCTCACAGAAATATGTTACCAAAAGATATTGGGTTAGTGATGCCGCTAACGAAATTTAAACCCAAATCGCTCAACACCATATTCAGATATATTTACTGGAGTAACTAAATAAAGTCTGAAGTACTGCTATGATAAACTGTACAAATGTACGGTGTATTTATTAATAATCATTGTTTTAATTACTTTCAATGCCGATTGTAACCTAAAAAGTTGCAACTGCATCGTGAATAGATAACAAAACTTATTTTTTGAGGTATATACTGGATTTAAATATTGTCACAACATGATATCAGTTGATGGACTTCTATAAAGCTCAAGGTTTAAAATGTATGTTTGGATCACTAGAGCATAATTCCAAAACAAAAAGCAGATGATTATTAAAGCATAATTGTAATGCACATTTTGAAGTTAAAATTTGTTTGATGTGAAAACTCCTTTCAAAGCGATATAAACTTGAAATATAACAAAAAATTAGCATGATCAGTTTTTTTCCTAGGAAAACTTCCATTTTAGGTCGTTGTTCTGTTTATAATAAAACTAAAAGACGCTTCCTAATAATCATTAGAAAGAACTATATTACATTTAGTAACATGAGGCTCTTTAAGAAATGAAGAAAAATGTCAAATTTTGCATGCTTACTTGATATTCCAATGATATTTTCATCACGGTAATCTACACTACATGTAGAGTTCGATGTAACTGAAGCCAGAACATGTGATTGTAGTTTCTGATTTACTTGATCTTTTGAGGACACTTTGTGAGAAGACTTATGTGTATATTCATTTGTATTTTTCGATACAACTTTAGTTAATTTAGTATGCTTGTTACTACGAGCAGAAACGGAACTTGTATTATCTGATGAACGTAAACGACGCAATGAATCATGTAAACCTGACGTTCTAGGAGAAGTTATTTCATTGTAAATTCGTTTACTAAACGCCTAGGGAACAAATTGAACAAAAGTTTGGTAAAATTTATCTCATGCTCTTTGGAAGTAGCAGGTTATTACTGATATTTATAGGATTATTACAAAGTTTTTCCTTCAATTGTATTTCAATATTTATACTGTGCTAAATAATTGCAGAGAAATTTGTTTTGCCCCTTAAATTTCGTTAAAAATTTCCATCATATCAAAAGACACACAGATATCTAAACAAAGAATATTCTGTTCAGTGAGTTCTCATCTGGTCTTACAATTACAAATCCATATTAACATTCCAAAGGGATAGTCACGTTTAAAGCGAAACATCATTTAAAATCACAATACATGAAATTAAGATTATTGGTGAAATAAAAGAAATTGTAATTATTGGAATGAATAGCGTGTGATGTTAACTCGAACAAGCTTCTAGGTCAATTGAAATTATCAGAAAAAATACAAAGAACCGTCGTGATACAAGTCATTAACCTAAACCGCTCAATAAACCACTACGTTGTAATCATGTGTATGCTCACAGGAAAACACTAAAAAGTTGTTCTAAACCATATTGATTAATTTGGTTCTTATATAAATGAATAGAAATGATTACTGATCACTGACAATTTGCCATTGATGAACTAACAGATGACTTTAAGCTCCCGTCTATGGATTACGTTACAGAAGTGACTAAACAACATGCACATGAAAAACTTATCAGATTTCTTAAAATCATAAAATATCAACCAGTAGAAACAGATTTTCGAAGGAATCTGAGAGGAATGTTAATAATTTTCTAACCATTGAGTAATTGAAGAAAACTTTGAAGTGATGGCATTGCATTCAAAGTTCTGTGACGCATCTGATTACAGACATTTCTTTTGAAAACCTCTATAGCCAGATATTGCATTTCATTCCAACCTTCGTTCAGAAACGCAAGCGATTTGAATCAAACCTAGTTGATTGTTGCTATCAGTATAATAACAATAAATATAACTACATAATCATTTAATGAAAAAAAGGAAGCCAACCGCGAAAATATTAAGGACAAAAATTCGATTGGTACGTATCCTGGTAAGGGGGACAGAAACTGTTCTACTCAATAAAAAAGCTGTATCGACAAAACTAATAGAGTCTTGAATGATAAATCAACATATAAGAAACTAAATTACCAGAAAGACCTCAGTAATGCGATAGAGTATGGTTCTATCAGATGTTTAAAGGAGCTTGAAGATCAATAGAAAATTTCATGAAGTATGTATGAAACGATTAATCCGATGGGAACTCATTTCAATAATTACAATTTCTTTTATTTCACCATTAG